GCAACAATGAATGAATGGAATTCCAAAATCCCTGTAGATGTTCATTGAAATGAAAAATAAATTAAAATATTTAAAAAAAAGACAACAAAGGGGCATATATGAGAAAGACCATAATATTCTTATCTTGATTTTGTGGTTGTAGTTATTTTGTGGGTACATATGCTTGTCAAAACTCATCAAATTATATATCATAAATTAATGTTCTGTTGAGTCAGAACAGACTCAAAGCTGACCCTCCAACAAGTTTTCAGAACCTATACATCACACAGGTTACTACCCATCTTTCTTCCTCAGAGCCACTGGGTGAAGTCAAACCATGTACCTTTCAGTTGGCAGTGTAACTCTTTATCCATCAGAACACCAGAATTCCCAATAGATGGTATATACTGTTTGCAAATTAGACTTAAAGTTCCTTTTGAAAATACTTATCAAACAGGTTCCTCCTGGAGAGAGAGGTTAAAATAAGGCTGCTCCTTGGAAGCAAGGTTTCTGAAGCTCCATTTGACATACTTTGGGCATGTTGCAAAGAGGGACCAATCCTCAGAGAGGAATATAAAGTATGGGAGGGTGGTGGGACAACACAAGAGATGAAGACCCTGGATGAGATGGATTGACTCTGTAACTGGGATAACGGGAGTAGGTGTGTCAGAGACAATAAGGTTGGCTTAGAAAAAAGCAGGGTTCAGAGTTGTTGTACATAGTGTACAAGCAACTCAATAGCTCATAACAGCAATCAAACAGGAGTAAAATATACAGAAGTCCATAAAAAAAATTTGGAGATTATAAAAGTCTTTTCAGTAACTGAGAGAACATAAGTAAAGATATAAAAGATGGAACAGTACTATCAGCCAACTTAAACTGACTATCCATTCATAGTTTAAGCTACCCAAAAACAATCGGGAAGTACATTCTTTCCAAGTGAACAGGAAAAATTACCAGGTAGATACATAGGGCCTAAAACAAGTCTGAATACATTTAAAAGGACTGAAATCATATGTTCTCTGCCCACAATGAAGTGAAATCAGGTATCATTACAAAAAAGAAATCCAGAAAACTCCAAAATATCCTAAAAGTAAGAAAACTATTGCTAAGAAGTTCATGCATCAAAAAAAATTATTTATCCCAAGAAAGTAACGTAGATAGAACAGCTGAAAATCAATATAGATCACCATTATAAGAAGTCATATATTCATATTAACAGGTGCAATTAAAAAAAGGATCTGACTATATTAAATACACATTAATGCCTAAAAAAAAATAAATTCAGCAAATTAGAAGGAAAAGAAAATATCTTTAACCAAATAAAGAGCATCTAAGAAGTTGTGCTGCCCATCCAAAGGCATGCCATTTGAATCCACCAGCAGCTCCACCAGATAAAGATGGACAATCTCATCTCATGAAATTTACTCTCTGAAAACCAGCTGGAGGGTGAGCTACAGAACAGTTCTAACTTGATGGTACATAACAACAATTGCATGAAAAACCTACAGCTCATCACCTTTCAAGGTGAAGACACTGAATACATTACCCTAAAGATTTATTTTATGCCTTAAACAAAGCAAAAAAAGTCCACTGCCATCACTTCAGTTCAACATGGAACATGGTGCAGTAAGGGGAAACAAATAGAGATTGGGAAGGACAAAGTAAAACTATATTTATTTGTGCATAACATGATTATTGTGAATCTACAAAAAAAACTACTAGAATCAGAAAACAACTTTGATGATAACCAAATTCAACTGAACTGCAATTTCCAGCCACAAACAATTATAAATTTTGGGATGTTTGTTATGCCATTTCAAATATGTTAAATACACAGGAATAAATGTGACAAAATGTTTACCATATACTCAGTTAATCTTCAACACAGGAGCCAAGCTATTCAATGAGAAAAACAAGCCTATTCAACAAATAGTACTAAAACAAAACACAACAACATTCATAAAGGGAAAAAAAAAAGACACCTTCAACATCTTCCAATTTTTGTAACAAAAGTAAAAAATGCAAGATGTCACAGATTTCAAATATCAAAACTAAAAATGACACAAAATTATAAAAATATGCATAAAATATAACCTAGTACCCATTATAAAATAAAACTAATTACAGAAACATTTAAAAGAAAAAAAAAATAGGAGAACAGCCTAACAACATTAGTGCACTGAAAGACTTTCTGAGACAGGGCCAGAAAGTACTAACTAATCATTAATGGAGGGAGTTTATACAAAAAAACACTTTGCTAAAATTAAAATGTTTTGCTAATTAAAAGATACTTTCGCAAATGAAAATATACGCAAAAGTGACAAAAGACCTATATTTAAACTTTTTTCAAATCAATAATAAAATTCGTTTTTATGGACAAAAACTTGAGGAGCACTTAAAAAAGAATCATAAACAAGTACTAAGAATCCAAAAAAGTTCTCAGTATCTCTAGATGTCAAAGACATGCACACACAGACATTAAAGCAAATAAAATTTAAAAGACACAGAGTACCAAGTAAAAGTCTAGTATGGTTTTTTGACGGTAGGTAAAGTAACATAAGAATTTTGGAAATCAATCGAGTACTATATGGTTACATTTATGTTTAAAATAGAAATTCCCTATTTGTACTCAAGAGAAATTAAATACGATCTGTATCGAAATATGCCCAAAAGAAATAAAACTATGGAAAGAGCCTTGGATAAGAATGTTCATCATACTTTTAAACATTATGTCTAAATAGTAGAGATATACTAATGACCATAAAAAAGAAACTAAATAAACAATCAATACAGTGGAACAACAAACATTGTTCAACAATAAACTACTGACACATTCAATGGGCAGCAAAAACAGTATTAAGCAAAGAAGGCACAAAAGATTTACCTACTTTATGATTCCATTTGTATGAAATTCTCAAGGTATAAAACTTATTAATGGTGGGGGCGAAAAATCAGAAAAATAGTCGCAGGGGTATGACTGAACAGAACCACAGGAAAACATTCTTAAGTAATGAAAATAGTCTCTATCATAATTGCGTATGTTTATGCAATTATCAACACTCTAAAACATTCTTAAGATTGGAGCATTTCACATTAAACATTTCCTCAATTTTAAAAAAATTCTTTTTTGAAAGTATTATTTGTCTACTATTTATTACTATACTATTTATCTTGCCTTCTATAGTGTGCACATTGTTGTTATTGTTGATTGCTGTCGAGGCAAGCACAACTCCTAACGACCTTATGAATGACATTTATCAAAGTTCATAGTTTCTAGAGGCATGTTGTTTAGCAAGTGGATGCCACTCCAGTGTGCACATACTTAAGACACAATTACTTGATATTCTACTACTGAAGACACAAAGAGCAAGAGTAAGTAAACAGATGTTTTATGTCAACACAAATCTGCAAGCAAATAAACACAAAAGAGTAAGTTAATATCATAATGAAAATCACACAGAAAAGAATGTTTTTCATCAGAGAAGACCACCATGCAAAGAATAATATGCATCATGTACAAACGTAAGTGGTAGGAAAAATAGCAACACATCTAGTAATTTGGTATGCTTAAAATATGGGGAGAGTGTGGGAGAGGAGGCAAGGTGTTACTGAAGCTGGGTAATTTTAGAGACCTGATTATGAAGATACTTTTAGCTCGAGGGGGGAAGAGTTTTTAGTTGATTGGGAATGAAGAAGTAGTTTTAACAGAGGAATGAGAAACTGAAAACTCATTTTGAAAAGATCATCAAAGAAAATGTATCTGAAAAACGCTGAAGTTAGAGCCAGACCAAGAACTACTATAAGTTAAGGGGCTGTGCTGATATAGCGTGTTAAATGTTAAGATGCTAACTCAATGGTTAGCTTTGAATCCACCAACTGTTCCTCAAGAGGAAGATGGGCAGTCTCCTTCTATAAAGATTTACAAGCTTGGAAATTGGATGGAAGTCTTAAGGAGACAGAATTAATTCAGCGACAGTGCGTTTTTGGTTTGGTGATGAGCTAGGCAAAAGTTTGGGACTTGCTTATAATAGCAGAAATCCTAAGTGGCTATCCATTCATTCAAGCCCCAATGTGTAGGATAGAAGAGAAATTAAGACAAAATTTCTGCTCTTTGTAAATTCTATTATCTATCAAAGAACCCAAATACTGAAAAAGTGACCTTGTGGTCACTGCTGAAGGGATTCAACCTAGGGCTGATGAGGATAAAACACTAGCTAGGTTAAAAAACAAGGTATGGTTGAAGACCATATTTTGAGCAGGATATAGAAAAGACCTGGAACAGATTAAAAAACAAACAAAACTACATTTTAGAAGAATTTGAAAGAAACCCTGCTATTCACTTTAAGTGCACAGTGCAATAAATTACAATAAATTTACTGAGCTGTACAGCCATCACTAAATCCAGTTTTAAAATGTTTATTTGAACATATTTTAAACAAAGACTGTTGACAGAAGGCAGATTAGAATTATATTATGGTTGTGATTTTCCTAATCAACAGGGAAAAAGAATGGTATATGAAAACAAGAATATAATGGGTACTTGTTAAGGATTGATCAAGATTTTTAAAAAGAAAGAAATCAAGTTAAGAACTAGAATATACCATGGGGAAAATGAAGAAACTCTTCAGTGATATCTTATTCTAAATGTACTCCAGATACAAACTTTCAATGCTTTAATGAAGAAATTTAAAAATTAAATATCTAAAAATCAAGCATTTCTAATTCAATACATAAACAATCCTGATAGATTGGTATTAAACTCGAAATAATTTCTAAACCTCATTTAACTAATTTTGCCTTTTCAAATGTGACTTCTGTTAATATATAGCTTCTCAAGAACACTCATTTGAGCTTTTAAATATATTTTGTGAAATTTCTTCAATGGCCTGCAGTATTGATTTAAGATAAAATTAATTCTATTTCTAACTAGAAATGCAGTATCTTATGAAGGAATTACTTACGGGGACATTAAGTGCATACTGTAGTCCTTGAGGAAGTCTCTCATGCGTCTCCATCTGCTCTTCATCATTTTTTACTGTCTCCTCATGAACCATGAGTTCATCATGTGATATCATATCCTGCTGTCTCATTTCACTTTCTTGTAACACTTCATCTGCAGCAAGGATCTCCTGGTGAGGTATACTCCGATCTTGAAGCACTGACTCCTGCAGTTCCCCAGACACGGTAGATTGGCCAGACACTCCACCCATTACAACCATTGCCCTGGAAGACTGCATTTCGTCTATGTGGCCACATTTAAGAAACAATCCTTCCAGTTTGTCGTCAATGTTCATGCTTAAGTATAACTGCCTAGAAAGACCAAGTTTGGCAACAAAGCACAATAAATTAGTTTTATGTCTACTTGATTTTTCTTTCATTTAAACTGAAAGGTATACATTTAAACAAAAAAAATGTTATTTAGGTAATGTTTATTCAGAACTGCCTTTAATTTAAATTGCTAAATTTTTTTTAGAATAATTATAATTTCATTAAGATTTTCAGATGAAATTCTAATTTGTTTCATGAAAAATGAGCTTGATATAAAGCATATGAGGGAAAATATTTTTAACATGAGACAAACGGCCCAGCAAAATATAAAAAAAGAGATTCATTCAACTAGAAATAATAAAATAATACAAACAGGCAAATCATAGAACAACTTAGAAATATAAATATATAAAATATTAACTTTTATTAGCCATCAAATAAATATTAAACATTAAATACAGCTAGGTTCCAAATTTAATCCCCAAACTAGTAATGACTCTTCTAAAAAAAAAACTGTTAAAGACCTAAAATTCAAATGAGGAGGGGAAAATCCTGTATTTCACAACAGGATGGTTTTAAAAAGAGAGATAGTGTATTTGTCCTCTGCTCTTGGGTGCTATGGAGTAGGTTCTGCCTACTCACATAGGTTGTGCCATCCTCCCACCAAAAGCCAACACACTTGCATTCTTTGGACAAGTAATTCTACTTTTAGCAACTTGTTCTGATAAAATAAAAAATATATACAAAGATATTCACGGAAAATAACTACAAGAGTGTTTATCATTGTGGAATAATTGGGAAAGACATGCATTCACACATTTAATCAGGCATGTCCAAACCGGCATTTTAAAACTGGATTACTGTGATAGCTCCACAACTCAGTATATTTATTACAAATCATTGCTCTGTACCATTAAAATGAATTGCTCTTCTTGTATGTAGATCGTGCCTCAATAAAGTTCTTTTTGAAAAATCATTTCAGAACTCCCCTTTGGTTTAGGGAAAGGAAAAGCCAGGGAAGGAGAGCTGAGAGCTGGTGATGTTCGTTCTTGAGCTGACTGCCGGCTGCACAGGAGTGCTTACTGAGTGAAAATACAAGTTGTGCAGCTGTGATACATGCACTTTTCTGTTAGTCATTATACTTCCCTAAAAAGTAAAGTCTGCTGAAGCAAAGAGTCTATGCATTCATTAAAAAATATGTGATGTGAGAAATTATCCCGATACACAAAAGAAAATACATATATACAAAGGTTTATCTAAAACCAATTTGCTATAGGAAAACGTTCATGCTCTTAAATTTAATAAAAGTAATTCGTTTTGTCATTACTAATACATCCTTAGTTATAAAAAAATTTAAAAATGACTGAATCATGATAAGAAATTAAGACATAGATGCTATTTAGTGCATTTATCGTTCTGATCCATCATCGCAAAAAGAAAGGCAGTGTTTTGAATCCACCCTTTTAACCCTGACTGCTGTAAATTAATATTTTGTACTCTGCTGATTATTAAACCAACTTACACAATGATAACCACAAATTCCAAAGAAACATTAGCTCAGTCAAAGCACTGCTATAAATTTCTTAACAACAATCTCTCTATGAGATAGCATGAAACAAACATTCACACATAACCTACTGTGAAGAACTTATAATTAGTAAAGGTATAAACTGTGTTTCAGGGTAGTTACCTCTCCCCAAAATAATCACTAGCAATGGTTATGGCCTTGATTATAGTTTTGATAAGTATGATATATTATCAATAAAATTCAAACACACTACTAAAATTTAAATGCACTTTCATTTATTAAGATTATAATCAAGGAAGAAACTAAAGCTTTAATAAATAGCAACCTAGTCAAAACAAAAATATAGCTCACATTTGTTTATCTTGTCTTCCCTGGTATCATAAAGGATAAAATACCAAGAAGAGTGACTTTATTTTTCAAAATCTTTAGGTAGTAAGTTTGAAATTAAAAAAAAAGTATTACATATATTATCAAGTCATTGCTCTCCTCAAGTATGTCATTTATCCTGTTTCATAAGGATTTCTGGTGGCCTAACAGGTAAGAAGCTGAGCTGTCAAGTCAAAGGCAGCAATCTAAATCAACCAGCTGCTGTGCAGGAGTTTTAGAAAATAAACTACAGTTACATGAAACTTTAAGATCTCAGATCTTTTAACCTAAAATCTGCTGATTTTGACCACTTCTTTGCCAATCTTTATAAAATCAAGTATATACTTTTCTCAAATGTTTACCATTTTCTGGAAAGTCCCTAAATTAACAGAGATTTACACATACACAAAGTCAATTTTACTGGAAATAACTCCTACAGCTTGGGAGAATTAAAAGAATACTGGAAATAACAAAAGTTACTTTAGAAAAAAAAAAAAAGCTGACCAAGGGCAGATTCTCTGATTTTTTTTTAAAGGAGGGGTGGGGAAGAGAGGAGCAAAACAAAATATATAAGGTATTATGACCTAATCTAAGGTGGACAGATAATTCTGTAAACAATACTCTTCAATGTCACTGCACATTATTAGATGTTTGACAGCTGCTAACCAAAAGGCAGGTGGTTCAAAGCCACCCTGCTGGAGGTAGTTGGGCAGTCTCTTCCTGTCAAGATTTACAGCCTTGAAAACCCAACAGAGGGCTGTCCTAAGTAGGAATCAACTAGAAAAAAATACACCTGGTTGCTTTTTAAAATACATGTATACTATTTACAAGAAACGCTGGTAACCTAGTGGGTAAAGAATTGTGTTGCCAACTCAAAGGTAGGTGGTTCAACTTCACCAGCTGTTCTGTGGAACAAAGATGGCCAGTTCCTTCTCATGCAATTCATAGCCTCTTAAAACCTGCTATAAAACAAAGTGCTAGTCTATAGGCCTTTTATTGTAAGAACCACCTTCCCTCTGTAACTTGATTTGTGCCCCTACTAGAACCTCTACTCGGAATATTATTGTTTGTTAATTTTTGACTCATGTACTTTTAACTCGTTAGTTAAATTTGTGTCTTCTAGGCTGCAACACTTCCATGATACATCTTCAAGGATATGAACATGTACGGCTAAGCACAATTGATAAACAGTGCATCTAAATTCCAAAATCAATCTCCATAATAGTCTTATGTGTTTCCTAGTGACAAAAGAGCCCTTTAGAGTAGTGAGAGAAGATCTTCACCCTGAAACCTACAGCGTCCCTTTTCAGCAGGAAGTAGCTAAGAGAATACGCCATCCCCTTTTCCTTATGAATCAGGATGAAGTCTCAGAGAGGAGTGATAGGGAATGGCAAAGGATACACTGACAAAGGAGATTAATCAGAACTGGCTTTGACAAGCACTGTGGCAACTGGACAATTAAAAGAGACATTCGGGGTGGGGGGAAGAACGAACTGGGGAGGAGGGTAGAGAAAACAGTGCAACAATGAATGAATGAGAACCCAAAATCTCTGTAAATGTTCATTAAAACTAATAAAATTTAATAATAAGTTTAAAAAAACAACAACACCTGCATAGAGTTGTATTCTGACTCCAAAGCAATGAATTTGTGGTGTTCTAATAGTTTTATAACTATATTCCTGTATTATTGTGCCAGTATATTATGTACATATTAAAACCAGACTTTTTTTCCTATCTCATTTCTAACATTATTTGATGCATTATTTTAGATATAGAGAATACTGGGGGTAGGGAGGAAGTGGCATTGGCAAACCTGGGTAGATCAGATTGAGGGACTCGGGGCAAGAAGTTAGCACATCTCACCTAAAACACAGAAAGAGTAAGTAGAAAGAGAAGTGGTATTATCATAATTGCCAAAGGTGACCTCCATGGAGGTTTTCTGGAAACTAGGCCATATAAATGGTAAATGTTTATTCCATATAGCTGCCTATTCCAATGAACTCAAAATTAAGATACACATTTTAGGTTCAACTGGTTAGCACTCAAACTATCTTTCTGAGACAACTCCCCTGAAATGCTAGAAAATACTAAGATATCAACACAGACTACTGCTGAAAACTGAACAAGATAAATTTCCGAAATGAAACCTGGAAATATTCAGAACAAAAACTCCATGTGCCATCAATGCAGCAATCTCACTTCGAGTGATATACATGCAAAGTGTTAACTGACAGAAACATGTTAATTATGATTCAAGCATAAAATGGAATACAGTAAGTCATTAGAAGAATAAGGCAGCACTGTATGTACTCAGTAAAAAGTTCTCAAGTCACATTAAGTGGAGGACCAAAATCAAATGAAGACCTATAAAGACAATAAAACCCTCTGTATATAATTTTTTAAAATGGTAAATAACTCACACAACAGTTAAAGTATAAAGTTCTTGCTTTTTTTTAGGGTATTCCTGCAAAGCAGCTTAACAGTTGCCTTGGGGTATTAAGCTCACAATGGAGCTAGAGAGGAAAATCACCTTTAATATCTTATTTACTGTATTGAAACCACGTGCCAGTATCATATTTTGTTCTTAGTGTTACGACAGGGAATTCTTTGAGTAATAGGTTTGACTCTGGGTCTTACTTTTCTTCTGTGTTTATTTAAAGATTTGGGGTGTTATCTTAAAAAATGTTTTAAAAACACAGAAAAATACACCTACACCAAAGCTCCTCAACTTGCCTTGTAACAGAGTAAGATGGAACAAAATTCAAACAGATCACGAAATTAAAAATGTCATTTCGCTAAATCTATTAAAAAATGAAAAGGGACAACCCTATTCTAAGAAAGATTATAAAGCAGAGAAAGTTTAATTTTTGCTGTACTTGTACTTTCCAACTTCTTCACCTTTAAAAAATCTTCTGCTTGTCCCTGTTAGGACGTCTATACAGTCTTAGAAATAGCACAATGTGCTTCACTGCATATTCAAAAACCTGAGGACAACAGTTCCATACTCAAAAGTTAACTCATTGCTACTAGCTTCGTCCAATTTACTTTTTTTTTTTTTTTTAGTGGTGATGAGTCAAATATAAAGAAAGGAAATGAATGTAGCTAATCCACACTAAGATTTAAAGGCCATGCCCAGTTAGACAAAAAG